GGACATCTTGAATAATATACCTACGGAACGCTTTCGAGAGTAAACTGTATTATTGTATGGAACTAGGTGGAGATCATTCTGAACAATTTATCCGTTGATTCTGTTTCCACATTATTTGTTGTTGATTTCCTCATTAAAATGAACGAAAGCAAATTTTCTGTTTTTTCTTAAATAAAACGTTTAACATCTAATTTCTCAATAATGAATGAACCAATTTCGAAAAAATACAGAGGTAATAGAGGGACAAAAGACCTTTCAAATTATGTATCGACCCCCCATGCCATTGAAAAGAATAGGGAGGGTAGTTGTTGATTGCAGTGGGGTGAAGTTTCGGGTATGATTTCCATATCAGAATAGTCCCCCTAGAAATAAAAATTCACAATTTGGCACTTTTTTAAACGGTAGCGTTTTTTCGGTCACCTAAAAACCATCCAAAAAGAGCTTATAGACAGCGTGGCATATATTATTAAGGAAAATATAAGCAAGGATATTGAAAGTGTTTTTTTTGCATGGGAAATTGATGAAACTACCGATATTACCTGTAAATCACAACTTTCAATCGTTTTTAGATATGTCAAAGATGGTAATGTGGTAGAACGTTTTATGGGTTTTCATGTTTCATCTGGGCGCACAGCTGACCATTTGTTTAATTTTTTAATTCGTACGTATGACACCTATAATTTTAGGCAGAAGTTAATTGCGCAAACCTATGATGGGGTTGCGGTCATGGCCGGTCATTTAAATGGTTTACAAACTAAAATTAAGTGCATAGCTCCTCATGCATTTTTTACGCATTGTCATACCCATGCCCTAAATTTAGTATTAAGCAAAGCGTGCAACAACATAAAAATTTTCGCGCCTTCGGTGGGCTTTTCTGCATGTATATAGTTTTTATGACTTTAGCCTCCCCTGTTCTCCAATGCACGAGCCGTCACTGAAAAAGTTATGGAAATATAATTTGTAGAAATCCTTCAACTTACGAGATAGAAAAATTTTGAATCGTTTTCTCAATGAGCAAGCAGATTAGAATTAATCATTTTTATTGAATGTTTTCGAGATATTAAGATAGAAACAAATTACTATATATTCAACTCTATCCTATCGATAACAGTTACAGTCATTGCAGGGGTTATCAGATAACAATTGAAATTTGAAATCAGTTGAAATCCCAGATCTGTTGATGTGGATATTACCTATAGTAAATCTACAAAGCATGCCAAGTACCAATTATCAATTAGCTAAGATTATTTATAATTGTAAGTTTCATAAATGTCTTAAAATTCATCAAATTCGTTATTTCTAAGAACATCATTAAATAGGTATATCTACATGAACAGAGCGGACATATCAACTGATTTCAAATTTCAATTGTTATCTAATTATTCCTGTAATTAATGTAACTGTTATCGATAAGAAAGTTGAAGAATATAATGTTCATTTCCATGAACAAATGCCTCAACAGTTTTTAGTGGAAATACAAACTGCAAATCTAGTTAATCTTTAGCAAAAGTAAATGAAATCATATATTTACATACATTATTATGATTAATTATCAGTAGTCCATGTAAATTGACTCTAGTTATATCTGAAATTCAACGGGTTTTCAAGAATGTCAGAATCTTCTGGTTTTCATCTGCAGATCAATTGATTTTATTAGACGGAAAATGTGAGTATTATAGGGTGTTACGTTTGGGGTTTCTACACAAAAAAATCAAGGGGCGACAAATCTGGTGATCGTGCAGACCATTCGATGCTGCATCTTCCAAACCATCAGGGCTGTGAAAAATGTTTGTTCACCTAAATACTCACGCTGAATTGAGAGCATCATTTTGTTGAAACATCCAATGACTGACCTTCAGCATCATCATTATTATCTCGTGCTAGGAATCGCAAATTGGAAGGTAAGAACTCGTTACTTCTTATCTTCCACAAGTTTCGAATTCTGAGAGTTGTCGTTCGTAGGTGAGGACTGTTGGTAAACGGAAAACAAATTCAACAGATACTGCATGTTGTTAAAAACTAACATTTCCGCTATTTGTCGACTACTGATTTTTTTTTGAGTGAATATCTTAAAAGTAAAATCTTAGGTAAAACCTATATAACTCTTTAATATTGCAAGTTTCAACAACCAATCGGCTAAGTAGGTAATGAGTATACCTAAACACCTGAAAAATTGAAACTTTCAAATATAATTGAACAGTTATTTTGAATTTCTAACGACAATATTTTACGAGTATCCATTCGAAAATTTAGAGGTAATTATGACTACCTCTTGCGGTGTCAAAAATAACAGAAAATTAATGTCGTGCTTCAATGTGAAGCAGAACTTGAAGTCATAAAATATGTAGAACATGTCTGTATGGGATTCATTTTAAAGTCTCAGCTCAACATATGCTACAATAGAAATATTGCTTACGTTACTTTAAGAGTCTAAGGTTTTGTCGTTTATAAATCATTTTGGTAGGTATATTTGGCTTCATCCCATAGATGTTGGTTTCAGGTTTTCTTGGGATATGCAAGTAATATGGTAATATGATGAGATATTGAAGTTTTCCAATTTTGATATGTTCTTTATTCAATGTATAAAATCGCATCAATATATTTTCCGATAATTAGCCGCTATTTTACATATTGGATATGAATATTTGATGAAGTGAACAAATTTATTTTTCCAGCTCGCAATAAACGAATCATATTTTTTTATTTTTGAATCCATGATAATTGTACATGAAATTGAATATGGTTCAATCATACCTAAATACCTACTAACTATGAAAAAAATATGTGCCCTAGTAATTAAATTTTTCTATTGCTATTCTATTTTTTTTTGAGGAGAGAAAACGAATAGTTTCACCCTAAAAATTAAATAGTGATATGAAATCTGACTTTTTACGAGCTGTTTTTCAGTCATGGAAAAATTCAATAATCCATTAGGAAAAAAATTAAGTTTATGAACTGTAAACTTCGGATTGTATCTATATTTATAGGTAGATATCTATGCTTCGTTATGTGTTTGGTGAAAAAAAACTTGTTGGCTTACTACTTTTCCATCATTGAACCAGTTGTGATTTTTCAGTACCTGAAGTTCAAAGATGTAGGTATACATTTTTCAAAATCATGAATCAAAATTTAGTTCAATTCACCGATTTATCTTCATGCACTCACAATATAACCTCTCGATAACAAACATAGTTTTCATAATAAATTTTCAAAATGATCAGTACCTACTTTACTTTTCCGTAACTATGGATAGGATTAATGTATTTTTCTGTGATTTTAATAATTGTCCATTTAGCTTTGGCATAATTTGGTAGGTAGGTAGATACTAATATACAAATGCATTTTTCCAATACCATAGTTTGAAGCTTTCAGAAGAACAAAATGAAAAAAAGTAGATTTCTTATTTTTCATTTCCCACAGAAGAAAAAAAAACATGTTTAACTGTAGGTATGAATTGTAAGTAATTATAACTGTGATATATCGTCAGATTATTCATATCATTCTGTATATGTATTGGAAATGTACTGTCCGATTGTAGTTTGTTCTTATTACTACCTAAAACACGACACACATTTTATATTTTTATAAAAAGTTGTGAGACGTCTTCTCTTGTTTCGACCTTCATGAAAATAAACATTGTGAATTGAGTATCTGAAGGAAACGTTGTTTTTTTTACCTGCCCAATTATAAATTAAATTAAAGTTATCACAATAACTATGTAGGTACCTAATCACAACTTTAAACAGACGAAATAAAGTATATGATTAAAAAAATTTAGGGGCCTGATACAAACTGAAATTCTATCTCAGGCATTCATATCAGCAATAAACCTTCATTAGGTGCATTTAGAAAAAACTGCAAAGGTATCAAGCAGCAAATAAAGGATACGTTTAGTTTCTTTATCTTTTTCCATATATATATACATATATCGTATAGCGAAACACGTGTTACCTACGTTTTTGTAAAAGTGTTTATTAAAAATCTAACAATGAAGTATGTTGTGTGAATATGTTACGGATTTTCATCAAGTAATCGGCCGATTCTATCACATAAATTCAATTGTTATATCCACTCATCTATCAGTTATTTATAAGGAAACTAAACTGGATTAAAATAATGAATGGAGTTTAATTGCAGCTTCATAAGAATCAAAACTATTCGGAAATTTCATTGAAAATTAAGGAATTGAATATTTCAAGTTACGAAACTTTCGTATCATTTTTATATCTACATTTCGACGCGACTGCATAACATTTTTTCACTGTACCTAGGTACCTAATCTTGTTGTTACCCTAAAAAGTGGAACACACTTTTTGTTATCGAAGTATCTGAATATCAAATTACAAGATTGAAATCTGGTTATTAGGTTACAAGTACACAAACGGTATAAAGTCCTTTATTCGAAGCAATAAAAAACCTATTACCCACTCAAAGATAAAACGCGGATTCAGCAGAAAATATTCAGAGTAAAATAATGATTCACATTTATTGTGAGGATTTTTTTATCAGAACACTTTGCCAGGCGGAAATTTCTCCGAAACTTTTTTGACAAAAACATTTTGCTACTTGGGAATTTCCTGATTCTAGCAACGATCATCCGAGCAGGACACAGTAAATCAAACTGAGTTTACCTTCAGGGAATATTTCTATCCAAAATCACAAAAACACTTTCAACAAAACAACATATTATATTTCCAATACGCCCCAGCGGAAAAATACACTTTTATCGCCAAGAATTTGTACTAGAAGCGACCCATCCTTTCAAGAAAATCATTAGTTCATCCGTCACTCACCCAGTGGCGTAATGCTGGTGGGCGTGTCCCACTACCCCTCAAAACCATTTTCTGACGGAGATAACCGCCACGCCAATCGGATACACGTTTTTTCACCGCCGTCACCATGGCGACGACTATCGGAGTCGCTGATTCGCCAAACCGTTGCTATGGCGACTTTTCCCCCTCCTTGTCCAGTATTTGACTATCCAGCGCTCTGGGTACTTCAGACTAGCTTGTAGTATCTAAGTAAACAGGCAGCGAGAGGTATTTGTTTTTCCAATCAGTGTAGGTTTTGGAATACCTAAAGTGTTAAGTTGTTTGTGAATTTGATCGTGATGTAAACAATGAAACAAAACCAGGGCTCGAGTTAGAATCAATTGATACACAGTGCGCCCTTCTGCAAACAGAGCGAGTGTAAACTATCAGTGCAATAATACCAAGTGCAATATGTTGACGCAGAAACTCTACCCCGACGTGAACTCCATGTCGACGAGCACGAATGCTATGTCCCCCATGACCCCGACATACTCCATGAATTCGATGGCGATGGCCCAGATGAACTGCTCGCCGCAGACTCCCATGTTCGGCTCCAGCATGCTGAACTCGGGCATGTCGGGTCCGATGCCCATGAACAGGATGGCCCCGAGGATAGACCAGACTATGAACGACACCTCGCAGCTGGGGTACACCACGATCGGCTCTCCGATATCAAACATGAACGCAGCTTGCATGGGCGCCACCATGTCGAACATCAACAACTACACGATAGGTAGGGGAGACCTGGGGGGCGGTGATACCTCCCCAAACAGCGCCCTGCAAAGGGCCAGAGCCGATAAAACCTACCGAAGGTCCTACACCCACGCTAAGCCGCCCTACTCGTACATTTCCCTGATAACGATGGCCATCCAAAACAGCCCGCAAAAAATGCTAACGCTGAGCGAGATCTACCAGTTCATAATGGATCTGTTTCCGTTCTACAGGCAGAACCAGCAGCGATGGCAGAATTCCATCAGACACTCGCTGTCTTTCAATGACTGCTTCATCAAAGTTCCTCGCACTCCGGACAAGCCGGGAAAAGGTTCCTTTTGGAGTCTGCACCCGGAGTCTGGAAACATGTTTGAGAACGGCTGCTACCTTCGGCGCCAGAAGCGGTTCAAAGATGAGAAGAAGGAGGTGATTCGCTCTTCGCACAAGAGTCCTTCTCACAGCGTTGACAGCAGCAGCAGCTCGGGGAAAAAGACCCCTCTGCAGCACGGGGATGACAAGGCTCACCACTTGGACAAGGTGAACGACAACCTGGGGAACATGCTCAGCATCCACCCCGGGAAGTTGGATGTTGATCAGATGAACATGTTGAACGCGAATGAGTTGCATAACATGCAGCAGCACCATCATCATCAGGGGATGACGCACGAAGAGCTCTCGGCGATGATCAACAGGAACAACCATCTGGCTTTGTCTAGCGAGCACCAGGCGATGCTACACCATGCTCCCATGGGGCACCACCTGAAGCAGGAGCCGACGGGGTACACGCCCTCGAATCATCCCTTTTCCATTACGAGGTTGCTGCCGACGGAAAGTAAGTCCGATATCAAAATGTACGACATGCAATACGCAGGGTATAATACTCTCAGCCCTTTGCCGAATTCTATACATTCTCACGCGTCTATAGGGAATGATTATTACAACAGTCCGTCGCTGTATCACACGTCGGGGACGACGTCGTTGTGACAGTACCCTCTAGCTTAAGGCTTTTCTCGAATATTTTTTTTGTATATAATTATATTTTATTAGGCGGGCGAGATGGATTTTTGAAATGGAGTGCTGGTCACCTTTTTTCAAGACATATTCATTTTTTCAAATTCTATAAGCTATTTTGAGTTAATTTCGCGAAATATCGTCGAAATTCGTCGAAATTTGTTTTGAACAATAAATGGAGAATCAAACAAATTTTCAGTCTAATGTCGACATCAAAAATACTACTACAAGCAACACTGACATTGTTATAAAATTATTAGCAGTCTAAATCTTAACTAATGCTGTATAGAGAAAATATTTGTGTTTGTTTTTTTTGTTATGAATGCACCCAGAAACTAATTGAGTTACTTGAAAATACTTCGAAATTGAATCAGATTTCATAGGCATTCAGTAAGAACTTCTGTGGGAAAATTTCATTAAATTTAGAATCGATTTGTGGGTTATCTTGGGATGTTTTTAAAAATTTTCTAAAATTCTTCGGAATTTGGAAGTTGTGATTTCCATCGAATTTTAATTTTGTCATCTATACGTACCTAAGATAGGTATAGGTTTCTGAAAGAAAAAAGAGCAAATACTTGATTTTCTTTGAAGTTTACCTATTTCCATCAGTTTATTTTGTGGAACCCGGGATTGGAGTGCTCACCTTAGATTGTCTTACAACAACGATTGAGTTCAGAATATTGTAATAGATTCAAAATTTCCCAAGTTCACCCGTGAAATAATTCGGCGTTTACCATTCCGGAATGACAAAAAACATTTCAAAGAAATTACTGAGAAATATATCTTCATAAAAGTTTAATTTACGGAATACCTGAAGTAGATATTTCAAAAATAGTGCGAAATTTCATCAAAGCTCAAATTTCGAGAGCAGAATAATAATTATTTCTAGAAAAAAATCTGAATTCGCACTGAAAGGTTGTTATTGATTTTAGTTTTTCTGCATTTCATCACCTTGTTGATGAATTCACTGTGAAGCCATCATTTTCATGGTGAAAAAACGGTAATTTATTCAGATAAAGGAATTTATATAACTATGATTATATAGAGAAATGACACCTTTTCAATTTCAGACAATAAAAACAAAATTATATATGATGATGAATTTTTTGCATAGCTGTGATTTGAACTCAACATGATGAAACATTTTTCTTAAATAATTGAATTTTGAGACTCTCTGCAAACTCAAAATTTTGTGTGCGCCACTGTTGAAAAAATTATGTAATTTGGTCAAAAAATATATCATCTAAATTGAATTTTATTGTTACGTCATATTTCAAGTAAATTATTCAAAAATTATCTGTGACTAAAGATGCTATTTAACTAATCATCTCGTAGTAATTTGCAACCTCATAAACTGAAAAGTTCATTATCTGAAATGAGGTAAGTAATAAAAATAATTTTGGACCTTGGCATTACGTCATATTTTGAATAATACAAAACTCATCAATAACGTAAAGATACCAACAAATCTAAATATCATCTACCTGAACATCTCGTACTTTGGAATCCTAAAATTTGAAAAGTTCATAATTTGAACTGATATGAGTCTATCTATTGGAATATCAGTTTATTTTCTGATTATTGTTCAAAATTATTATTTAATTTTGTTATTCAAAATTACATATTTCCTAGATCAAATAAAACGCCGCCGCTGAATTTCCTAATCTGATAGACGGAGTATCTAAACGGTTGAAACTTGGAATGTATTTCGAGAAAAATATATTTTATGATGCTGCAGTGAGTTATTCGTTATTCAGTTTCGAAAGAAATTGTGCAATACTTGTTTATAATTCCAAAAAAATACCTGTTTTTGCAATGTTTCCTGAGAAAATGAAAAGTCAGGGTTTCTTGTAGGTATTTCCATTATTCTTGAGAACTTTTTCATTTTTACTCCAAAAATTCAACATATCAAGTTGAAATAAAAACTCAATTCCAACCTCTCAAAAGATCATTAAATCAAATTAAAATATTTGATCTGCGAGAAATCTCCAGTTGAATATAGTTTTATATCCGTCATGATATTAGACAGGAAAACCGATATGTTTTGAAAGACACCTTTTCTACATGTTTTACCCGTTAGGGAACTGGTTTGGTATCTTAAAAAAACTCACTATTTGATTTGTATCTATGGAAATTTGTTTTCGATGTTCCTTGGAAATCGGTTTGGACTATAAATTTGATGACCATTCGTGAACAAAAATCAAAAACTGATGAAGCGAGTAAATGAAAAATTACTTTTTACATATGTATATTTTCATGTGAAACAATTGAACGAAAAATGCAATAACCAGGCCTTCATTTCAAACATATCAATCGCGCTCTGTCAGATTGTACATAGAATTTATCAATTTTTGTAGTTTATAGCCTGAAAACAAAACATGAAATCAGTGATGGTGCGTATTTTTGTAGATATTCTAGACAAAGTTGCTAAAATTTCTAAAAGTGCAATATCAAAGTAGACCTTTGAATAATGGAAGAACGTTAGGATATACTGTAAATTTTATAGATTATATAAAGAATGAATGATCGAATCAAAACTATTATATTTTTTCAATTCTATCAGTTGATATTATTTGACGTATTACATTAACCTTATCTGACATTTCTTAAATTTCGTTTCTTTTTTTTTTTTCATTTAAAAAATATGGCAATTATTATTAGTTGGCTATGATCTGAAGCCACAAAAACTCGAGATGTAAATTCTCAAGCATAAATAATAGTTGAAATAGTTTGGTGGATATTTGTAAAAAATGGATAAATTGGTAAATTGATAAATAAATGGGCAAATAAATGGGTAACTGAATGGATAAATAAATGGTAGATATAGATCAAACATTAATAAATCAATATATTAATTGATAAAGAAAGGTAAACACCCATTTACATTGAAAATATTTCAATAATGTTTTGCATGTATATTTATGTTGAGGCCAGTAAAAAGCCAGTAAAATTTTAGCCATATCGGAAGCTATTCTGGCCCGTTTTCTAATGTTTTTTTTTGTGTGAGCATTTACCATTCCTCCAATTTACATTCTTATTTGTGTGCGAGTGCGAAGATTTCGTCGTATTCCTCAACTTAGTGATTTTGAGAGAGGACGAATTGTTGACTTACGTAAGGCAGGTTTTTCAGTTAGAGAAATTTCAAGAAGAACCAATCGATCTTTGCGTACTATTATTCTAAGATGTTATCAGGCTTGGAGCCAAGAAGGCCAAGAACACAGAGCTAGAGGCACCAGTCGTCGCAAGGAAACAACAGCGCGTGAGGATCGCTGATTAGGACTTTTAGGGATCGGTTCATTTCTACTAGGGCAATTTCGAATCAGTGGTTGGAATGTGCGCATTATATCAGCGAATGTAACGTTTCGCACTTTATTCTTATCATCCCCATTGGGTGTTGCCACTGACTCTCGAGCATCGACGTAACCGATTGCACTGGTGCATATACAGAATAAATTTGGATCAACAGTGGAACCGCTTAGTTTTCAGCGATGCATCTCGCTTTTGTTTGGGTATGCACGATGGACGAGCAAGAGTAAGAAGGCGTCGTGGTGAACGACGAGATCCCCAGTTTAATGTGGAGAGGCATGTTCACCATACTGTTGGTTCAATGGTTTGGGGTGCCAGTGCATATGGTAGCAGGACTCCTTTAGATGCAACACGACACCTCTTCGTTACATTCACGAAGTATTGGAGCCTCATGTTCTTCTATATCTTGAGACCATCGAGAACCCCGTATTTCAACATGACAACACTACACCGCATGCTGCTAGAATAACTGTAGACTTCATGGATCAGCATGATATTAACCGCTTACCATGGCCACTCAAATCGGCCGATCTTTTATCGATCGCAGACTGCTGAATTAACAACAGTCCCCACAGACATTGGCAGCACTTAGACATGAGTTAGAAGAAGGATGGAATGAGATATCCCATCAGGATATAGACCACCTCATCAGGGCAATGCCCAGACGTATTCACGAGTGTATAAGACATCGAGGATCTGCAACACACTACTGAACTTCACTGGTTTCACAGGTTATATTCAGCAAAAAACTCACTGACAATTTTGTTCCATAAGCTGCATACGCTGGCAGTGCCTAACAGATTGTCTCTGGTCTGGATTCTTGGCTATACTGGTCTGGATTCCTGGCCATACTGGCCTGGAAGGCAATGATGCTGCCTACTCTCTTACAAAGGAAGGTGCTGCAAGCAACTTCATAGGACCAGAACCTGTCATTGGCATCGCTTTAGGCTTTGCCAAAGATTGAACACCTAGATGGCAAGAAGATTTATGGACTTCTGGCAGAATATTTCAGGATTGGCTCACTCCAAAGAGTTCATTCACCCTTCGAAGCTTGATATCAAACAGTTGTTGGACTATAGTAGGGATGAACTGCGATGTCTAACAGGTCTTCTTACAGGTCACTGTCATTTGAATCATCATATGCAGAGACTTGAACTGTCGAAAGACAGTGTGTGTCGCCTCTGTTTGGAAAATAATGAAATAGCAGAGCAGAGCCGTACTCTTACCATCTGACCTAAAAGACCACTCACCATACAAACTAATCAGCTTCGTTAAGAAGCTGGGTTTTTGGTTGAGTGTAAATAGGTATGAGCCACAATAAACCCTTGCGGGTTCAGGTGGAGGGTCGAATAGCCCCACTTACTTTGGACGTAACCTAACCTACCTTCAATAGTACTTTGGTGTCACGTGGTATCTCACGTGAACATATCTGAGATTTTATTCCCAACATGTTTTGAAATTTTTATTTTGCTTGATCTTCAAATTGGAAGTAAATTTTTCTACGAGAGTTGACCTACTTTTGTACCCCTGTTATGGCAAAAGGGGTGGATTCAAGACGTTTTCAATCGTTCTGTTGCTTGTTTCACCTGCCAGTAGACCAAAGATGTTTGATCATGGATCCTACCGTCATTGTGTTTAACCAATTATCTTGGCTGATTTCAACCACAATGTTTTTCCACAGATGCGTCTGGTCAACATCAGGATTATCTCTGCCATTTTAATTTTGGATGTAAATTCTTGGTCAATCAGATATTTAACCTGCCTCTACAATTGTATCTCTTCACCACAACGTTTAAGAAGACTGTTCTTTCTCTTGCTATAATATTCAGATCCTGCTATAGACCCTTACTATATTATTACATTTTTCTTGGCCCAGAATGACTTAATTTTCTGAATAGTCTACCTGAGATCTATCCTGGTACAAAAAACATACCTCCAACAGTAACTTTTCCTTTAAAAGTATATGGTTTTATAAAATCATAACATTCATCAGATACAAACTAATCAATTTGTTGCAGCAGTAACATTACTAATCCATTTGAAAAAATATCATTTCTTTGATGAAAGTATATCGTTTTACTCACAAATATAGAAATAATGTTCATATTATTCGCTGATGGAATTGAATTAATGTAGATATTTCACCGACTTGATTACTAAATTAATTTATGAAATTTACTACACCTGCATAACTTTTGTACATACATGCGATTTATCTCTTTGAAGCAACTTTGTCTGCACTCTGATTTTCTTGCATTAGAAAATATTAAACTGATTAAACACTTTAAAATTTGACGAAGTCATTAACCTCACTGTGTTTATTATTTTTTCAAAATATGAAAAAACTTTTGTAAATGAATTCAGATATATTAGGGACCTGTTTCCTTTATCCTTATATATTCATAGATAAGTTACTTTTGAAAACATAATTTTAATTTCAGAAATGGAAATCTCAAATATTATATTTGATCTGTACTTTTGAATACCAACTAGGTACCTATTTATTGCGGCCATATTTGTTCGTTTTATAATTTTTTTACTTTCAAATGAAACTGATGGGTTTCATTTTTATTGTATATAATATGTAAAAAGTGTAAATTGGATTTCTGTAAATTCTAATCGACATTGTGATGTTTCAAATATGTATTTATTGAAAATATTTGAAATTTACATATTGGTACTGTTATTTTGAAAGATTATATGTAATTGTAACTATGAACCAAAATTTGTAAATATTGCATAGATAATGTATAGGTATGATGTCTGTATATTGACTTTTTGTCACAATAAATGTCCAGATCTCGTAATTAAGCATGTCTTTCAATTATTCCTCTTTTCAGCCTATGATACCACGATTAATAATAGTATAAGGGTGATGGTTTGATATCAATCTAAT